ATTATTTAGATATAATGACCTTGACATGAGTTTGAAGTCCAAGCATTATATACATATAATGGTTTTGCGACAGCTATTATTTATATATAATGAAATGTAAAAGCAGTTACTTATAAATAATGAGTTTGAAGTCAATTCGTTATTTATATATAATGAAATCAGTGAACTTATTATATATAAATAATTGTAAGTTACTTTTCATTATTTATATATAATGATTTGTTACCTTTTCATTATTTATATATAATGGAATCAGAGAACTTATTATATATAAATAATTGTAAGTTATTTTTCATTATTTATATATAATGATGTGTTACCCCTTCCTTATTTATATATAATGAAGCCAGTAACCTTATTATATATAAATAATGTTTGGTTAGCCTTTCATTATTTATATATAATGTAATCAGTAAACTAATTATATATAAATAATGAAACGTTAACGCAATTATTTACATATAATATTAGACGTAAATGCATTATATATAAATAATGGGTGATCTATTCAATTATATGTTAACTAATGAATTATATATGAATAATTGTGTTAAATAATAAATTTACTCTTGGCGCTTCATACATTTGTACCCTCTAGCAGCCTCTAGCTGCCCGAAGTGAAATAGTAGACTCCAAGCAAACGTAGCGCGGTCATGGACATCGAACGGTCATGGAGATCGAACATGACCGAAGCCTGTTTTGGCATACTCTCAACTGGAATGCTAGTTCGAGCGGATGCATTTAGTGCGAACTACAGCAAGGGCGAATTTATCGTCGCCCTATTTTTGTATTTGTTTGTTTTAAATGCAAAAGATGCTCTATGCACTAAAGTTCTAAAATGTTTTTGGTACTTTTTGATAATTATTCCATGTTTCAAGAATTACAGTTCTTGGCAAATCCGACTAAAAGATGGCCGCTAGAAAGCACTTAGGCCCTATATTTTAAAACTATAAAATTTCGCACGTAGAATTCACGGTTTTTGTCTCCAGTTAGTTAAATTATATAGTGTTGTAACAGCATTTGTAGATTTACGATTTAGGCCTATATTTGTAAATGGGAGTAACTTAATTGTAATTTTTATTCACCATAGAAATTTAAATTATTTTTACGTATATGGTATCCGAAGGTGCACAAATAATTGGTGTAGTAGTGTGACACGAGCGGATCCAGTGTAGGGGACAAGGGGAGGCACGTTCCCCCCTCGTCTTATCAATGCATATTAATGTTATGTGCTACTCACTTATCTATTCTGAAAATGTTGTGCCCCAACCCGCCGTTTGAAAAATTCTGGATCCTTCAGCCCCTGGCTAGACTATCAACAGCACAGTTATACATCTGATCATACCAAGTTTCTCCACTATTCAACCATCCGTCTATATAGTTCAAAACCCACATTTTTTTAAACTTAGCATGTGGAAAGAATAACAATGAGTTAACATTATTATGAACGTAGGTATGTTTAATTGTAAATTGTTAACCTTATAAATCATTAAATACGACTTCTTTTTATACATTAGGCTATAGGCTTCTCCCCTGGACCCCACCGGGGCTTTTCCCCTGGCTCCAGTGGCGTATCATGAAGTCTTGAAATGGGAGTGGTTGGGGAGGGGGGGCTGTAAGGTGAAGTAGGGGGTCGATGATCAGTTGAGGGATGCTATCAGGGACGTATACAGGGGGAGTCGTAGGAGCCGCGGCTCCCCCCACCCACCCTCTGTACACAGTGTTAAAAATTTAAAGCTTGTTCTTGCTAGCCAATACAAATTCTTTCCAAGGCTCACTCAAAATAAATAATTCTAATCTACGTAAATATGCATCAGCACATGTTATATATGCCTACTATGCACATAGGTTCAAGCGTGATTTTTAAAAATCTTAAATCCGTTTTAAGTCCCAGGCCAGGTCTTTCAGAAACAGAAATGTGACGTGATTGGCCTATTGTATGTTTCAGTTTGGTTTTTATCGTTTTTGAAGCTCTATAAAGTTTTGATTTAATACTACAGCACTACTAGTTAATGATAATTATGATGACAATGATGATGATGACGATGGTGATAATAGGTAATAATATTAGTAATATTAAAAAGTGAAGAAAATTGTGCTAAAGGCGAAAAAGTAAGTCATGATTTGTTGATCACAATAATTATAGTACTGTATAGTTAAAGCTTAGTAAGCTATAGTTAGGCCTAAGTTGTTTGGATATTAAGTAGATCCCTGATAAAATATTATGAAAAATTTGTCTGCGCTTGATTTTGACTATATAATGGTGATGTAATGACGATGAATTTTACTATATAAAAGGGTCATTTTCGGCAACTAGAGGTACAATTTCCTCAAATTTTCGCACCTCAGCCCCAACCATGGGGCTGAGGTTGTTGTGAAATCACGGCTTTGAAGTATACCGGTATACATACTCAAAAACAATGTTTTTAAGCTTTATTTTCTATGGTACATCACACATATTAAAGATCTCTATGGTTGCCGAAAATTCCTGATAAATGATCGTGAGAAATTTGTTGGTGCTTCATTTTGAGTATAATGTTATCAATGCCGTAGCCAGCTATTGGGTAAGTTGGACAGTCCCACACAATTTTTCTGTTGGGTCCACAAAGAAGTGTACATTTTGAAAAATGGGTCCAGATTTCTCATATTTTGCGTAATGGGTCAACTTTTAAGAAAATGGGTACATATTTTTCATATTTTTGCGTAAAATTGGTCCATTTTTAAGAAAATGAGTCCATATTATTTGAATTTACGCGTAAAGTGGGTCCACACTGATATTTTCCCGCATTGATTGAAAATCCTGGCTACAGCATTGTAAATGTAACGGTGATGTGAGGATGATGTTTTTAGGATCTGGTTTTTACATGCCATATTTTTCGTGATTATGACTATTTTGGATAAAGAATGTTTTGAGCAGTGCTGGATTCAAGGTCTCCCCCTCCCCCTAAATTTTTTCAATGAAAAAAATATATGGCCCAAATTTAAGTCTGAAAGTGTAATTTCCAGTCATCTAGAGGTGCCTTAATCATAAATTTTCAACCATGGTTGGGCTGAGGTGGGTGGTTACCCAATCTGTAAAAGTTCCTCCCTGGAGTCACCTCTATTGAATAGGCCTACCTGGATCCACCACTGTTGAGTTTATTATTGTTAGGTTACTAATATTATATATGATGCGTTTATTGCAATTTTCACTTTATCATTTCAGAACAGCCCTAAAAACTTTCAAAGCACACTACTTTCCAGGGGACTTCGCCCCTGGACTCCCCACGGGGTCTTACGTACTTTGCATAAACCCCCACCCCACCCCTTTCAAAATCCTGTCTACGTCCCTGGATGCTATAACTCTCAAAATAAGGTGATTTTTAACTACAGTACTTGCAATTGATTGGAAGTCTGAGCCCCGGCCGAATGCAAATTGTTAGCTCAAAATAGGAAATTTTAAAGTAATTCGTAAGCCTACATACCGTATTCTCACAGGCTGTTGTTTGCGCAAGTGATTTTTTTCTCCGCTCGAATTAACATCCGCTCGAAACCGCTCGAACCGGCATTCGCTCGAACTGGCATCCGCTCGAATTGACTGGTTCCCATTTCGACTTAATACAGTACAGTATTACCTGATCAAAGAGCTGGCCTACCGCATGGGTAGTTGCTAAATACAACGGGTTTTGTGGCGTGTTGGCATGTATTTTCAGTTATTAGTGAGTCAGTTACCGAGTTTTTGAGGTAACCGTCTAAGCAGTAGTAAGTCAATATATAGAATGCCTTATAATAAGCCTCTAGGCCTAAATTTAAAAGTTTTTATATTAAATTATAAAGTTTTTAGCTACTACAGTACTACTACTAGGCCTAGGCTGGGCTAGCTGGGCTTGGTTGGCATTTACTTAGGTAGGCTAGCCAAAAGACCCCTCTCCTCCGCCGTCATCCTACGCCTAGCTTTGAGTCTTGAGTTACTGTAAATACTCCTTCATACGCCAGCATGGGTTGGGGGGGGGGGCAATTTAACACTTGACAAGCCTATCATTTTGTTTGACAAATGACAAAGGGTAAATAGAAAAATTTATTAGATTATCACTCCCGTCCGCGTCAAAAACTCGGGAAATATTGATGCTGGAATAAAAAAAAAATTTTTTTTGCCTCATCAATTATTTCAACAGCATAAAAATAAAATTGCAATTTTGTGGCTTCAAATACATTTTCTTTAAAAAACTAAAAAATTAAACCAGTTTTTATACAATATTTACTATTACTAATACTAGCCAAAAATAAACAGTCCCTCCCTCATCGATAAAAACAAAAGCGAAATAATCTATTGTTCTGATAAAAAAAAAACAGCCCTCCCTCATCAATTTTTTTTTTAAAAAGAGTGATAATCTAATAATTTTTTCTATGTGCCCTAATTCCTAATGTCAAGCAAAGATTTTTTTATTCAAAAGTTTTTTTTTATTCAATACTTTCCCCCTCGTCGGGGACATACAGTATTAAACATTTATGCAAGTTCTTTGTAAACATTTAAAAATAAGCATTTTTTTCAATCTCTGGATACGCCACTAGGTGCAAGTTCATAGACGTCTACATTTGGTTGCTCAACTTAAAAAGGGAACTTGAAGGGTAATGTTATTTTGAAAATAAACAAGGTCTCTAAGCTCCAAGAAATTTAATAATAACAATAATAACAATAACAATAATAATAATAATAATAATAACCTTGACATTGCATAGTGTTTGTTAATAGTGTTTGTTAAATGTTTGTCATTGTGCCGGGAACAGTCACAAAATTAGGGTGGGGCAGCTCCCCAGTAGAAAAAGTGGAGGGCCAATAGCCCCAAATTTGATATTTGTGGCCTGTTGATATTTTTTGCGCTTTTTTATATTTTTGTAGGATTTTATAAAATTATGGCTGAGGAAAATGTGGAAACGACAAAAGAAACTCCAGCAAGAAGCAGAGCAGAACGACGACAGCAGTGAGTCACAGTATATTTATTACAAAGTAGCTTACAGTTTAAGCTTTGCTCAAACTTGACTTTTATTAGTAAAACTAAATGCTGTTTAGCTTTATCGAAAATAGTCTAGCACTAACAACCTTAAAAAATGTTTTCTGGCTTAACTTGCCTTTGCTGCTTGGTTGGAATATCCGCCATGTACAGCACAAATCAGAGCACATTCTAATACTGTGTGAATCGTTGAACTTTTCAGAGAAACTTAACAATTAGACAGCTACACATCCCATTATCTTACTTTGTTAAAATCTGTACGATTAAAAACTTGACGCCATCACTTCCATTTGCACGTAATTTACCTATTCCCGAGCAGGCAATACTATTTTTTGCGCCTCGTGTGCAAAATATTTTGTTGCTAGGCCAAGCTCTGAATGTACACAGTGAACCTAACGGCACTCTACAGTGCTAGTTACCATGAATAAGGTCTAGACCACCTAGGCAAGGCCTAAAAAGGCATAATAATGGTTATGAGATTACAAAGTGCTTGACTTATAAAAGAACTAAAAAGAGAAGGCAATGCTGAAATAATTCATAACAATGTTAACAATACATTACGTCTACCTATTAACATCTAAAAAACTTCATCAATCTCAATCAATTCATTCATCTTTATTTTATCGCAGAGCTGCAAAGAGTGTCAGTGCATGTACTGCTAGTAAATCATTTTTATACACAAAGCTACACAGTTAATGTATTGATCTATGAACAACTGGTCACCGCAACCAGCAGTTTGATTATATAGCCTAAATGTATATAAAATGGAGTGACTAATTTCTAAACTAATGGCTCCATGCCCCTCTCTTCTATAGGGTCCTCAGAACTTGAATATAATTGCATAGTATTTCTATTCTCTGACTGTAATTAGTTTATTATATAATAGTTCATATATTTTTTGGTTTTACTTCAGGTGGTGGTCTGCGAGAAAAAAGGAAGATGCTGTAGCCATAGACGAATCAACTGAAGTTAATGTAGAAAAAAATAAGAAAAGTAAGTTAATCATTTTTTATTTATTTACTTAATCACTAAAAGTTTTATCTTTTTACACCCACAAATTTTATTTGTGTAGCTGCTCTTTAAATTTAATATTTTCAGCTCATTGTCTTTACACTATAATTTATATAATGAATAGTATTCATAATTTTTTTTTTTGTAATTTACTTTTTTCAAGAGAAGAAACATAAGCAAGCTGATCTTAAGAAAAAGCATAAGCATTACTGTCTTTTTGTCGGCAATTTATCATACGATATAACAAAAGAAGAAATTGAGAAGCATTTCCTACCAGCGGGTACGTCCATTTTCTTAACTTCAATTCATTGACAATTCATTTCGGAAGTAACACTGTTAATGTAAGTTATTTATAATGTAAAGGGAGTTTAGCTCAGTTGGCTACATTGGGGGTAGCCACTCCCTCTCTGGCTTGATTCCTTCTGCTCCTCTACTTGTGTTTCAGCTAGCCCAGAGTATGTCATTTACACCATTAAAATGTAAACATAAATTATATTTATTTTTACACCGTTAACTGGATGAATTACTATTGATATACATGCACTAAAGGTGCTCTAAATATGTTTTATTATGAGGCAAGACTTTTTTTATTCCTTGTTTCGCAAACTTATTTTTTTGAAGGTCATCAGAGGAGGGCATTTTCTTATTTAGCAAATACTTTTACCAAAAACATTCAGACGGAGGAAAAAATATTTTAAATAATATATATTTATTGGTAAATGCAAACATTGTAGTAGTTTTGGATGCAAGCTTAAGAAAAAGCATAAGCATTACTGTCTTTTTGTCGGCAATTTATCATACGATATAACAAAAGAAGAAATTGTGAAGCATTTCCTACCAGCAGGCAAGTCCATCTCCTTAACAAGCTTCAACATATATAGTTTTGGATGGTTAAAATTAATGCTTTAAGTTTATAAAATTAGGAAGAAATGTACACATTTTATCTTTGGAGATTTCAAGGCAGCGGAGGGCGTAATAAATATAAAGAAAAACTTTTATTTTTTTCTGAAATTTTCATTTTTACGCTCATTTTGGCCAAAAATAAAATTTTATTTTTATTTGAAATCCTGAGGTTTAGGGAGTGGAGTTGTTTGGATTTTGATAATCCTTTAACAACATTGAACCCAGAACCCTAGGGTTGGAAAGCTAACATCTTATTCACCAATTTACAGCCCCATATGACTTGTGTGGTTTTTTTATGGCCAGTTTTAGTCCTGTTACTTATGATCATATATTTATATGAAATTATATTTTAGGCACTGTGAAGGCTGTCAGGCTGGTTACTGACGTGAAGACTAACAAATCACGAGGATTCGCTTATGTAGAGTTCAATACATCAGGTGACTTCATGGTAAGCCAGTACTCTGTTCAAATATAATAATATTATGAATAATAAGAATAATATATAATAAAATAATAAATATTTTCAACTGGACTTGCTTGTTACTGTAATTTAAAAGCAAATCCAGTTGAAAAGATTTATTCTTTTATATTATATATGATACTTACCTGGATGAATAATGATAATCACAAATAATAATAATAATTTAATAATTAAATTTGGAGTGGCCCCTCAGGAACTGTGGCAGCTGCAGTGCAGCACCTCCTGACTATATTAAATAACAGATTCGCACGGATACAAACATTGTCCTTAACCCACCTAACTTGGCGAGTCGAGTGGCCGAGCTGTAAGGCTGGGGCGCCGCTAGCTACAGCCTTTAACATCGGCGCTGGTTCCAGCCGCTCCTCGCCCATGGTTTGGTTGGTAGAACCAAGTCTTCTCGGATAAGGACTTAAAATGGAGGTCCAGTGTATACATCTGGCTTGTGTGCACTTTAAAGAACCCATTGCATCTTTCGGAAGAGTAGGGGGTTACCCCCGATGTTATGGTTCATTTCAGCCCCTGTCGTTGTGGAATGATGTGAACATGTATCTACCAAGAAGCGCCTCTTTACGGCTGCTAGGTAGTCACGGACCACACCCATACGCAATTCAGCACAATGACGCTGCAAGTTATGGGTTATTCTCCTACCTTTACCTTTACCTTTACCTAACTCTTAATATGAGGGGTGTTATTCCAGGAGCCAAGTGATCAGTCTCCAATTAAAACCACTGTAGCTGGCTGGGTTTGAACCAGGGTCTTCAGTTCAAGTAGCAGGAACAATACTCATGCGGATCACGCAGAGCAACATGTCTGCGAGATGAAGTGACTATGCCCTGCGGACAAAAGCATATCAGCATATTTGTGAGGTCTCACCACGAAATGAGACGCATCGTTGGTGAAATTATATTGTGATAGGCAACATTTTTACAAAATTTTGATTTTATTGTTTTTGAATAACTTGATACTTATATTTTATGATTTGGTACTTTTTAAGTGAATTTTCGTACTAAAACAGTGTTCTCTGTGCATATTCTGTAATTCTAGTCCTGTTATTTGTACAGGTTAGTTTATCTTTGAGGCCGATTTTCTCAAAACCTGGTTCTCATACACCTAAACTTTAAATGCTAACATCTCTGGATCTATTTATCCTAGGTAAGCCATTCGAAGACCAAATTAAAGCTTATAATATGATCAACCCAAATGTAATATTAACTCATTTTTTGATTCTCTAACGATGAGACTCATTTTTTAGTGAGACCTCATATTTTATATAGAAGTGGGAACTCTGGATTGCCTCATTTTACAGACAAGTTGCGAACAAGTTCGCTAACGCGCGTGCGCTGCCCACTGCAGCGCAACGAACAATGAGGGCTCAGTCACTAAATAGATACTTTGCAACAAAATCAATCACTGGTTTTACTATACTATGGCCCACCGCGAGTCTTCGCAATGCACAGAGGCTGCAGCTGACAGACTTTAAAATAGCGCATGCGTACAATATGTTCTATGAGGATTATTATGAATACTTCAAGAAATTTCACCAAACTATCCTAAGTTTTAAAAAAAAGTTGCATAACATTTAAGCATATCAGCATATTTGTGAGGTCTCAACACGAAATGAGACGCATCGTTGGTGAAATCATATTGTGATAGGCAACATTTTTACAAAATTTTGATTTTATTGTTTTTGAATAACTTGATACTTATATTTTATGATTGTGTACTTTTTAAGTGAATTTTCGTACTAAAACAGTGTTCTCTGTGCATATTCTGTAATTCTAGTCCTGTTATTTGTACAGGTTAGTTTATCTTTGAGGCCAATTTTCTCAAAACCTGGTTCCCATACACCTAAACTTTAAATGCTAACATCTCTGGATCTATTTATCCTAGGGAAGCCATTCAAAGATCAAATTAAAGCTTATAATGTGATCTACCAAAATATAATAAATATAAGCTCATTTTTTATTTTCTAACGATGAGACTCATTTTGTAGTGAGACCTCACATTTATACCTTAATATTCATTTTACAGAATGCGCTCAGTCTTCACCACACAGAGTTGAATGGAAGAAAAATCAATGTGGAAATGACAATGCCTGGCAAGGGAACAAGTCAGATGAGGAAGGAAAGACTGAAATGGAAAAATAAATCCATGGATAGATTCCGACGGAAAAGGACACATGGAAAATCTGGTCATGGCAATAGATAGATAAATGGGACAGTTGTTATTGTGAACTCTTACTCTCCCTCACAATAGAGGTTTGCGAATGGATTACAGCCCATCGTTGTCCGCCATTGTATGGCTTTGTAATTCTCAGAAAAATTCTTGTGAGATCAACTTGTAAGGTGTTGGAATGTAGCATTGCTATTTCTTGTACCTTGAAGTTTAATACCAAAAATTTTGGTAATCTGACAGGAAGAAGGTGGAGCCGCCTCCTTGAAGGACAAGCTGATTGATCTCCAAAATATGGAGGTGGTAATTTAAAGATATAATTTGCTATAGGAGGCTAACAACAGTGGATCCAGGGGCTTGAAAATAGGGGTTAGAAGAAGAATTGACTGGTTTAGCGCAAATTTGTAGTTTGACATTGTAACAAAGTTGATTTGTAATTTAGGCAGTCAGAGATTAAACATTTCATTTTCCGGGGACAATACATCTTTAAAGGAAATTCACAATTTTTGAGTTTAAACATATGAAGATAGGATGTACCTATCCATTACATCCGTTTATAGCAGTAAAATATATTATAACGGTATATTAATTAATGTGAGCCTAAGTTAGGAACTCTGTTAGAAACCACATTTCTGTAGTGAAATTCATCATTATAAAATCTGTATAGACCATTTTATCGATTTTGAAACAGTGCCGCCAATGTCTCGCAACTCAATGGGGGACTTCCAGCGACTTAGCCTAGCCTGAGCAGATAGCTAGTGTCAAATAGAGCGCCGCGCGCACACTGTTAACATAGCACAAAGTATGTAGGCCTCTGGAAGTCCCCCCGGGTTATCGGAAACTTTCATTTCAAATTTCATGAAAATTGTCCTGTATCATCAAAAATTAAATTAAGCCCAGTCCAGAATATCAAATTTTATTTGACAAAAACATGACATGCCTGTATGTGGTCATAACGACATCACGCCATGAGCATTTAGGCACATCATGACTATATATGGGCATACAACAGTTTTTTTGTTTAAGAACATTTGATAAGCTGGGCAGAGCTTTACAATTTGTCACACTTTGAAATTTAATTTCTCATTTGATGCTTTTTAAATGAGCTGTTCATTATTGGAAACAGAACAATAATGTAAATTGTACTGTGAGAGTGGTGGTAATTTGGAGCTTTCAGTGTTGAGGACGGGGGTTACAACCTTTTGCTATGCATTGTGCTGGTGTTCTTGGGTAAAGAGCTGTCCAGGTTATCAAATTGTCCTTGACAAAAAACTTTTGTATGGCCATATACTAATGATGTGCTTATATATTATATGGTCATTAGAATTTGAGTCTAGTTTTTCTGCAAAAACAGAACCGAGAATGTGTTCCATGGGCATTTGATCCAATGGCCAGGGTATTAATGTGAAGCACAGAAGAGTTGTTGCCATGTTTGCTGTATTATCTGTGTCATCATTGTCATTTAAGACTCAGCAATTGGAGTTATATTAGATATGAGAATATTATGAGCTCTTAGGATTATACATTAGTAACTCGCATCAATGATTTTTATCTTTGATGATAAATGTGTAGGAAAATACATAATGTATTTTCTTTAATTTATCTGAATAAGAAAAAAAATAAATTCATGAAGATACTGTAAACATTTTTAGTTGCAATTATTTTTTTTATGATTAGGTTCAACGCTAGCCTCAAAGCGCAAGCTTGGAGGTTTAGTAGTTCACACCAGGTTTGTTATCTGGAGGTTGTGGATTTGATTCCCATCTGATTCACTTGCAAGGATAATATTATTTGGGAACATACCTAGCATTCTGTGTAACATGTCAAGTAGAGCAAAATGTCATTCGTACAACCTTAGAGAGCCAACATTGAAACTAGAATGGAGAATTACAAACTACTGTACCAATTAACCTCTGGACTGCAAATTCTCTATCAGATTTTTTTAAAACAAACTTAATTGAAGCAAGGTTTTTAATTAATAATCCCTGATGGTCGTAACAAATTAATTTTATTTTTATTAAGAAATGTTGATATTGGGTGCAAAGACACTGTGCCATGAATGTTCCCTTGGAATGAATACCAGCGCGCTACAAATGCTTGATATTGTATTATTGCATTTGCATTGTTGATCAATGTTGACAAATTCAACACGCACGTCTAACTAGTATATTAATCGTCAATACTGTATTCCCTCGAGACAAATACGCCCTAGCCAGTAAGCACCCTCAAGAAAAATCAAGGTTGTGTTGAAATGTAGAGAGCAAGGTTTAAATTTGTATGTGTGAATGTAGTGACCTCAGTAGAAGTTTACCAGATTGACTTGCAATTTAGCAACCACTCGCACATCATTTTGTTCGAGTTTTAGTAATCCTTTTGCAACAGTACCAACATTTTACTGGTTCCTTGGATCTTGCATCAATCTAATCCAATCAGAAAATTTTTAAAGCGCCTTTCTTTGCAGATACGTAATGCTGCACCCCACATACTTAGGCATCTCACAACCCACAGGCAGCTGTGATCATTGCCTAAACAAGCACAGAACAAGTAAACAAAAAAAGCAGTGGCAAAGTTTGGAGTCAAATAAATAATGCAACAATAAATAAAATGGGATAATTAGTTAAAGAGGCGAGTCTTTAAGTTAGACCTAAAGACAGCCACAGATGGTGAAGATCGAATGTGCACTGGAAGGTTATTCCAGATGACGCTTATAGGTTGATGGAAATTTAACATTCAAATCTATCTGGTACGAATTTGCTTTTTACGTACAAGTAAAAAGTTGGGAGATATTGCGGGCATAAGCCAGACAGTGACTTGAATGCAAGGACCATTAATCTGAAATAAACCCTTTTGCTTAAAAAGCAGCCAGTGAAGTTCACGGGCACTTTAGACTCACTTATTTGCCTAGTACTTCTTATTATTTTTTTTAAGGACATGTCAGTTGTGTGTTTTGCTTTTGTTGTTTTGACAATACAATTGTGGTGCTTGTGATTTCTGTTAAATGGACCTGTATTACAATCTGCCTTGAGTTTTTCCCTGAGCTTGGAGATCTGGCGTGCGCTTTATAACCAAAAGGAAAAGGCGAAATATAAATGCCTGTACCAGTACCATTACAGGCATTCCAAGTTAGACAAATTTCCAAGCGTGAGACTTCCACTCACACCTTCACCCCCCCCCCCACAAAAAAAATGCATTGAGGATCTGGAATTTTTCCTTGAGATTGGGAATCCATGCATTTCAGGTCATCGCAACACAACTTTTTCCATACTGTACGTGTCCTTTGATTTTATCCGGCTGCTTTAAAAATGACATCTACAGAGTAGGTGTAGCTAGCTGGTATACATCATGTTACCATGATATTTTAAGTACTGTAGATGGAGAATTTTTCGTAAGAGGGCTACAGAAATAAAAAATAGTACATATTTTATGATGTAGGCATTAAATTTATGTGCAAAATGTTGGTCCTTAAGTGTGAGAGTGTGAAACAAACCCCAAATACGCAAGACTTCGTATTTATTAGATAATAAGAAAAAAAATACAGCCAAAACATATCACTTCACCTTTTATTGCATCAGCCAATTTTTAAAAACTGTATTTTAATTTGAAATGGCTAGCATATCTAGTGCTTACTTAAATTTTATTTGTAATGATGTAATTTTATTTCCGACAATCCTGATGTTACCCACAGCACAGCATCTAAATGCAGCTTTTCTAATTCATATTCAATCGACCATAAACCATGAAAATGTTGCTCAGAAATTGTATGAAGCAGAGTATTCCATCTGGAGATGGCCCTCAATCTAACCATTTAAATAAAAGGTTAACTACACTAATATTAATGTAAGACCGGGTCAATAATTTACAACAATTGCTTCTCCATGACGTTTTTTTTTTTTGTTGTTCCACATGATTGCATCATTTATATGCATGATCACATCTTGTGCACGCCAAATTACCAAGCATGTCCATGTATGTTTGCTTCTTTTTGGAACTATTGTTTGTTGGAGGTAATAACATCGTTACATCGTTAACTCCTGCAAGATTAAAAAGAAAAATACATCAACATATCTTTTAAAAAACAGGTACGGTACATTTCATTTTTCAGCTCCCTTGAAACTACTGTATAAGTAGGATGCCAGAAATGGCACTATCAGAAAGATTTGAATATAATTTCATTTCTTGCTCCACAAGTATGCCGGAGTCGGCTGTCGTCTGGCACCCCCCTCCCCCGAATCAGCCTGTAGCAAGCTCACGGATGGACAGTATATGGATGAAGTAGTGTATTGGTGTACTTACCATAATAGCATTAACTATGTCGTTTTGATTATTTTTCAGTGCTTTTACAGCCTTTTGTTTACTGACATTTGCTTGAGACATGACAAGCTCAATGTCTTTATGTTCTACTCCGGAGTCATCAACCTACAAAAAAAATAGAAACCCACAATATCATATCGATGATAAAATATATGGATAAACTCAGAATAAAATATATACCCATTCAATAAAAATGTGACATCTATGTTCAACATCACCAACTGCAAGCGCTTTGTGAGATTCACTGGCATTAGCCTACCCCTAACCTGTGTTGAGTCTGGACTGTGTTTTATCTGGCACTAGCAGTATCAGCATTCACATTTAGGTCCGGACTTAAGCCCATAACTATACAGTAACTGGATGTGACATCATGGGAGTTAGATAATAGGAATATCCAAAGACTACTGCACACTGTATGTTAGGTTTTAATGCCCATATGCTGATTACTAACTGAAGTATTAGGTATATTTTCTACACGATATGGTAGTATTTTATTCAATATATATAGTATTTTATTCAATAATGTAAAGCACATTTGAGGCATGTTGTGGCAAAATGGCTAAGTTGTAGTAAAAATTGAAATTCAAGTTATTGGTATAAATGCATATACCTGAGTATGTGATCTATAAAATAAGGGGTCATTCATTGAAATTGGACATTTCAAGCCTAAGTTATTGGAAAGTGAAAGTACAGTACTCTTAGAGTCAAGATAAACACGATTTTGAGTAATTGCCTTCCAAAATTATTTGTGCATACATTGTTTAATAGAATTAACTATCTAAATACTGTTAAATAAACGATTTGTTGATCACTTCCAGAACTAATACTTTGGGATATGATTAATAAGACATTAAACTAATGATCTATAGTGAAAAACAAATTTGGATTTTTAGACTGTTTTTGAGTTCCCATATTTTATAGCTCATTCACTCTAAACTGGCCTGTGCGACAATTTAACCATTTCGCCACGACATGCCTCATTTGTTTGACATATCAAAAAGTCTTTGGCACAAAGATGATACAATTGTATTGATGTTATTTTTTTCTAGATAATAAAATACAATTTTTGTATTAATATCAACCATTTCTAGATGATTATTATGTGTTTCAATCATTCATATTAATCAGTTGTGACATCATCACCATATTCATGAATATATTACTATCAGAATTACCTCTTCCTCATCACTCTCTTCTTGTATCGTTGGCGTGTTAGCCGCTGCAGCGTCGCTCGATATCGCTTGACTTGGATCTGGTGCCTTGAATTTCTCTGCTGCTGAAATTTGAGCTTGCTGACTCATATCTTCAATCTGATTAAACAGAAAATTCAACAATATTAATTATACTTTATATTCTATGTGGCATGTTTTTAGTTATCATGATTACATTTGTTGGTTGTCAGAGTTTGGTCTTATATGCATGCCAGGTAGATAGCAAATTTTGGCATATTGAAACTTCAAGCGATATCTTTTTTTTATACCTTGTTTCGCAACCTATGTGAAGTGTGAACAAAAGTTTTTAAATAACATTTTTTTATTGACAGCAAAATGCTTTTGCCAAAAATATTAAGGTGGAGAAAAAAATACATAAAATATCTGCAAAGTATAAAGTAACATAGGATGCCCATAGGCAGTAGCCTGGGATGATCATGCGTAGTAGCTGTTACTGAATTGTATTTAATTGTAAAGATTCCATAAACATTTTCTGAACTTTGCATTGATTAGCATAGGCAGGGGAAGGAGGAACCGGCCTAAATTATTTAAAATACAGTAAGTTTGAGAGTGCCAGTTCCGGGCATCTGGAGGTGACATATTCATAAAATGTCTTGCCTCAGTCCAAACCATGGTGGGGCTCCGGTGGATGAACCCTCTATCTGTGGAGTCCCAACCTGGGGCCCTCTAATTACTAATTCCTGGATCCGTCACTGATTAGTAACTCACCTTAGCTTCACCGAAGACGACGTATGTGTCTGATGCGGGACTTTTATATACATCTGGTTTTTGAATGACAAACAGAATGTTCTTGGACTTTTGTATGGTAACTCTGTGCACACCTGTGATTGATTTCAATGCCATTTTTGACATGGACTTCCTGGCTTTTTTCTCGCTCCTACTTTGCTTTGCTTTACTTACTGGTTCTTCATTTATACCCATCTGAAATATACAAAAATTTATAATCATTAAACTGTTTTCTATTTCAGTAAAAAAAACATCAAGGCATTAAATTGTTCACTTGAAAAAAGGAATCAGTGTGTTCAATGGGAGGAAAATTATTATCTTGTTATATTTTTTAATTGGTGCAGCTGATGACTAATACATTACAGTATCTTTTATTCAAATTATTTTTTTACATAAAATATTAAAACACTACATTGCAGAACTATAAATTTGAATTAGAAAACTGAGTTGTTAAATACATGGAAAAAAATTTTTTTAATCCGTTACCAAGAAAATTAATGGACAAAAAACCATAAAAATTTAACTTGGAATTGATCATTGGAAAGTAGCAATACAATACAATACTATACTACAATATGTATTATTATTATATTACAACTAAATTTGAGTTGGTGCAGATAAATGTTTAAAAAAAAATTGGTCAAAAATGGTGATAAATCACTTGATAATTAACGTTAAATTACCAGTGCTATTATGGTCTGTGTGCAATTTTCAAAAATCTATCTGTAATAATCCAGTGTTATGCAACCTTTCAGGGCCAGTAGACCACTTTCTACACCATGAACAAATTTGCAACCTAATAATATACTAATATCAAAAGTCATTAAGTCGCGTGGTGTGAAAGCAATGTCAAATTAAAATAGTATGTTGTTTTTCGTGGATTTTTGTAAGCCATATTCGACAGCGGGACCACTCAACCACTGGCGGATCACTTACATTTGTCCTGGACCACCCATGGACCCTTAGCGTTTCATGGACCACCAACAATTTTTGACGGACCACCAAGTGATCCGCAGACCACGGGTTGCGTAACACTGATATAGTCAAATGAATTTCTTACCTGTGAGGACAACTGGGCGACATTTTCTGCTGTATCCAGTCCAGGCACAGAATCATCGCTGTCGGAATCGGTTGCAGAATCCACTCCTGTGCAATAAACCAAAGTGACATTTTACAAGTTCCTCTATGTTACATTATATAATGTTATATTAATTACATACACACCATCACATATTAAATGGAAGCCATGGTTAAGATGAAGATGCCACGATAGTGGTGGTGATGATTTTAATTAGAAGAAAAAGCAAAAATTGGAAAAAATTTATATTTTGCTGTTAGCCAGAGTAATACAAATTTAATTGATTAGAATTATCATTTCTACATAAATGAAATTTGGACTCTATAATCTTATACTTATACAGTAACAAAATGCAGAAATAGCAGAGATGAAAAGTGGAAAACAGCACTCAAACTGTTCAAAATGTTAATAACATAATTAAGAAGATATGTCAGACCTTGCTCTTTTGTTGGTTCTTGTTTAGTGGTTGCTTCTGTTTCTGCAGGCATGATTTATTGTTGATTTATACTACTGTAATAAATAGAAGACACAAAATATTATATTTTTCAGTTACATAATTTTCCATATATATCCTCAAATTGATATTACAGGTAGTACGTCGTATTATCACATCGACATGTGGATGTGTTTGCCATGTTCCCATGGTGTAATCAACATTAGATCAAAATAGCAATGATCCTACAATGCTGTTGATGTTTGAAAGGTGTTGTTTCATGGTTGAGTTAACATTAACTATGTCACACTTAAACCAATAGGGGGCGCACAAAATTCTACACGATACCCAGTAACAAAAAGATCCAACGTTGTGTGATAAGCATACACAAATAATTCACTCGTGCATGATACGTGTCTAGTGGCAGATCTGTAACTATAGGCCAACAATGTTTGTGTGTTTTGTGATAATGCACACAAATTTCCATAAGGGTCCTAAAGGAAAAGAGGCAGGCTGGGCACTAGGAGAGTTACCCTAGTAAGGAGACTGAGAGTCTGACATGAAAAAATTTAGGCTACATGATGTATGCTAGAAAGGAGCAAGAGGCTTTATTGGAGCTGGCAGGAGTGACTGCAGTAGGCTTGCCTAAGCCTGATGGCCACTGAACTGATGAAGGGTTTTTTTGCTATCAACATCATTTATAGCCTGTGTTCCAGGCCCTGATTTTGGGTTACTCACTCTTTATTGCACTTAGTACGTGCCAAACCTAATTTAATTGGGTCCCATACTCGATTTCTTTTTTTTCGGATTAGGGCCTGGGCGAACGATTCGTGCGTACGATTTCCCACATCAAATTCGATGTGGGATATCACAGGCATGACTGATTTTGTAAATCACATGATTGGCTTACTTCATGCATACTAATTATTCTTGGTAAATTTTCAAAATTGGAGATGCGGATGTCTCGACTAGGACAAGCTAACCAGCTCCCTTCTGCTTACCTACTTGAATTAAAACAGTTGGTATAGTTCTGGCCTGCTGAGAACGACTATGGACTGATAACCGTATACTTACAGAACCTTGCTCACTGCTAGCTGCTACATAGCTTTAGGCCTTTAGGGTAGAATATTGTTAAAAATGTAGGCCTCTGTAAGTAAGAACTTAAAAATAGGCCTCTACTAGGCTAGGCCTACTACTTTTGACTCTAGAGGCCTGCGCCATCCTCCTGGAAAGTTAAATTTTTTTGTTTATTTCGGTCTGCCTATTTATCCAAATACAGAATATGAGATTACATCATTCTTTTGGCATCCTTGTGCCTGCATTCAGTGTTTTACAAGTCGCTTATTCCGTCTCTAAATTAACTTTCTCGTTGGTCCAGAATGAGAAAAAAAAAAAAAAAAAAGAGATTGTGGCAAGTCTACATTATTTAGTGTCAAAGAGAGAAACTAAAAATGTTAAAAATTTTTTTTTCTTCCAAATACACTTTGAGTACTGTATGTGTTTCCAATCTACAGTTACTGATTCACAAACATTCATGTCTTTAGTTATTATTTTTAGATGAATATTAATCCAGATAATTTCATATTATTTATTATAGCATAAAACATAGCAACCGAGGCATAACTAGGTACTGTAGAATATGAAGGCGGGCTTGATTGAATGTGGCAATAAGCTGGAGGAATTTCAGTGCTGAACCAAGACAAGACTTCACAGACTTGTTCCACTGTAGCACTACTGTGGTCCAAAAAAATAATTTAGTCTTGGGATGGACTACATCAGACTGCACATCCATCCAGACATACAGTACCAACAACAATTTCTTCAAGACAAAAAATAAAAGGGTAAGTTAAGGTGAGTGTTAAATTATTTTAATTGAAAGTTTAAATGGCCATTAGCTTGGGAATAAGTCTAATTTTGAAGTAAAAAAAAATCAACTTATTTCCTACTTCCTGTTTCATCAACAGGCATCCATACCCAAACTTCAGCTTCTTGTAAAAAAAAACTCCCTCCTCCCATCGGTGAAAGAGCGTTTCAGGAAGAACTTTAAAGGTGTTAAAGATCTTGAAGATCCCTGTTTTTCTACTCTTGGGTGTCTGATTTCTAGTGGAATACAAAAACAGACCCCCATACAAAATCCAAAACTCGGCATACAAAATTTGTGCCTACTGACTCGTATCTTCAATCTGTTTGGACCAAGGACTTATGTTACCAGGATAGGAAGCTGGCTGGTTTAAGCCGTCTAACTGAAATTAGCCTTATGCGTGGTATTGTAATGAGCAAGATAAGCACAATCTGCACATGCTCAGAATAACAAAACAGAATAACGAAACTGCGTATGGGCTTGGCGTACAGAAAGGCCTGCCAAGGATTACGGTACGATAAAACAAAGAAAAGGCGTATTAAAATAAAAAATTTTAAATAAGTAAGTAGTAAGTATGAATAATTGTAATGCACTAGTTCGTTCTTATTTGTTTTGGGTCTTTTTTCTACATTTTTATAAGCGGTTAGACATGGCCTAGGCTAGCCTATGTGATGCTCATTGTAATACTACAAAACAATCACAATAATTTAAAATCAAATTTGTAAACATACTTGCCTTATATCTTAACTAGCAGGTGATTTTATTGGTAGATTAGTTTGTTTTTAAGTGTGTAAGTATGGTTGATTTGCATGTCAAGTGAAATTCGTACCCTTATATTGCTTTGTTTTACCGTACCGTAATTCTCAGCTAGGTAGCTGTACGCCAAACCGATACGCAGTGCGGGCCACAGTGTGGCTAAGGAAAGTTCAGTTTTTCTGAGTATGTGCAGATTGTGCTTATCTGGCTCATTAGCATAACAATACCACACATAAGACTAATTCAAGTTAGACGGCTTAAACCAGCCAGCTTCCTATCCTGGTAACAGTTAAGTCTTGTTCACATGTCTCCATCGATCGCGAGCGGTTGAGATGCTGGGTCGTGAGCGAGATTGTGTTAGATAAAAAAAAATGGCCAAACTGCGTTCGCTACCGCTTTCGAGGCGACCGGAAATAGATTTACGTCACATCCCCAATTGGTTGTCGACATGCTAGGCCCGCGATTTCTGATCCTAGACCTGGGTGAAGGTGGCATCGACGATCCTCCAACGGTCCCCATCTGACATTTTTGGGCGATCGCCGATGTTCTCAATTCTGTAGTAAACCGGCAAGTTTAACGCATTTCTGTAACTTATATTGCATTTCCCCATTTAATTCAGGAAAGGCACTGAAAATAAATAATCTATTTATCATATAGGCCTATCGTAAGTTCACCTTTATTTTCGAATCATAAGTTATAAAAATTAGCATTTTAAAATTTTCCGATCGTAGGCCTAGGCGTGGTGTACACCGCCGTAGTTTAAATCATGTTTGTAGAAGACATGTACGATACGATATCCACGAGTTATTATTATTTTTTAACTTAGTTATTATGTGATTTATTGTTGTTATATTAAGTGATTTTCAAGTTTGCATAAATGCTAAATACCACGCCATTCTTAACTCTATTCCAGTCAAAGTCTAGGCTAGGTCCCGTTTGAAGAGACCTGTATTTCACTGCTCATCCCAGTTCGGGTGGCGGTGCGATGCTAGCTCACTGTTCATTAATTAGGCTTAGCTATTAAAGTAGTCCTTGGCAGTCTAGATAGTTGTACTAGCCTGTGTACTATTGATTTTAATCTCTTATATTTCCTTTTTCTCCAGATAGAGTAAGCAGTCAGCGCAGGGATTGTGTTCAGAAAATGGCCCAGTGCTTTGTTCTAGATTGCTCTTCAGTTACAGAGAGAAGATTTTATACAGGTTGCCGAAAGGCCCAGCAGTAAAAAATTCATCAATAATTTATATTGTTATTTGATATATAATTTCAGTAATGTTCCACATATTTTAATTATCGTTTATAATATGATTTAAATATATAAATAATAATAGGACACTTGACCCAATCAAGCAATATCAATGCCATTTATCAACTTCAAAAATAAGAAATGTCAGTACAGGGGTAATGTGCTTATTTTTATTTTAAAACTTAGGATTGATGTTTTCATAAATGTTAATCGCCACATCCCAATATCAAACAATTTTAACTCACTGTATCTCGCAACTGCTGAACTGTAGACGTTAATACAGGTATAGTGTAGGCCTATGTATAATGTTTGTGAAAATAACATTTGCATTTACTG